AGGAGCTGCTTCTTGCGCGCGCCCGGCGGCGGCGCCTCTGGCCGCGCCACCTTTGCAGGAGGAGGAGGCGGCGGCGGCGGCGGCTCCGGCTCGTCTCTGGCTGGCTCCGCGGGACGCTTGAGCGACGCCGCTCCCATCCCGCTGCTTGCCGGCCCGCCTCCGCCGCCGCCGCCGCTCGGCGTGCCTGGCGTCGTGGGCGGCCGCTCCCCTCGCTCCTTGGGTGCGGGGGGCATCGCCTGCCGTCGGCACCGGTGCGTGTGAGGCGTGGGTGTCAGGCGTGCGCTTGAGGCGTGGGAGAGAGGCGTGGGGGAGAGAGCGGGGGAGGGAGAGGGAGGGAGAGAGAGGAGAGGGCGTGGTGTGTGTGTGTCCTGCGGTGGGAGCGGAGGCGGCCGGGGGCTGGACAAGGTGGGGCTGGACGAGGAGGGGCGAGGAGGAGGGGCGAGGAGGAGGGGCGGAGGAGGGGCGGAGGAGGGCCCCCCCTCGCCTCTCCCGTCCCGCGCGGCATCATCATCGTGCGGAGGTCGTTCCAAGAGACGTCCTCGGTGTCCCCGTCGTCGTACTGGAGGCGGAAGCCGGTCTGCTGGTCGAACTCGATGACGGTGCCGAGGAATGTGCCGTGCCCCTTGAACTGCTTGAACACCACCTCGCCCAGGATCTCGGACGGCTTGCGCACCGGCGGGACCGCCCTGTCGAGCTCATTCAGCCGGCCCGTCACCATCCGCGTCAGCTCGGAGCTCTGCGTCTCGAGCTCGGCGGCGCTCATCGCAGCGAGGCTCTCGAGCCATCCGCTGTCCGACCCGGCGAGCAGCGCGCCGCACCGCACCTGCAGCGGCAGCAGCAGCCGAGCGACACTCGGCAGGTCGTCGCACACACTGAGCTGCCCTTGCCAGCGGCTGCCGCACGAGTAGTCGAGGCGGGCCTCGATGCTCCTCAGCCGCTCTGCGCAGCCGCGTGCGAACTGACTCGCCTCAACCCGGCCGCCCTGCATCCCGGAGAGGTGCGCGGCCTGGCGCCGCGGGGGCGCCTGCACTCACCTCAAAAAAAGAATTCGCGCTACGTTTCTTTCTTTTTCTTGAAGTCCGTTTGATTATTTATTTATCGCGCCCCTTTCCTCTCCCGCCATCGGCGTCACTGAGGGCCTGAGGTGCCTCACCTGCGTGCTCATACACATATAGAGGGGCTACCTTGTTGTCGCTGCGTTTGCACTCCGCCCCGTGGCAATCACTGCGCGCCCAGTCGCCGCGGCGCCTCCGGCCGCCCCCCCGCTGAGCCGCCGGGCGCCACGCGGAAGCAGTGCGCCGCCGCCGCCACCGGCCGCCCTCTCCACCCCCACCGCCTCGCGTCTGCGCCGGGGGGCGGCGGCACGTTGAGGCCCGGGTAGTCGACCTGCGGCACGCTCGCGTCCTCGGCCTCCGCCTCTCCCGCCGCGGGCGCAGCCTCTCTGTGCAGCAGCAGCGGCGGGGGTGCAGGCTCCTCGCCTCCGCTCGCGGCGGCCGCGGCGGCGGCGGCGGCCGCGGCGGCGGCGGTGCCGAGGTAGGCGGGCGGGAAGCCCATCCGTTGCATGCGGGGGAGGTACGGCGGCGGGTCGAGGGCCCCCATCCCGAGCTGCTCCCGCAGCCCGGCCGAGAGCGCTCCCGGCCGGCCCGCCGCCGTCGGCTTGTCAAAGTATCGGCCTTGGAAGGCGGGAGGGCGGCGCT